ACTATCTATATGTAACATTGGGATCAATCAACATTTGGCCAGATAAAGAAACAGTTAAACGTACAATGCCAGAATCGTTTAAAGAGAAGTACCCTGATACACGTATCATTCTTGATGCATTTGAAATCAAAACTCAAATGCCGAAGTCGTTAATGCTGAAATCACAGACATACTCCAATTACAAAAGTACCAACACCGTGAAAGGACTACTTGGGATAGCTCCACAGGGTGCTGTCACCTTTGTGATTTCACTATTTCATGGAAGCATTTCAGATAGGGAACTTACTGAAAGGAGTGGGGTACTTCAACAACAATTTGACAAAGATGATGCGGCTATGGCAGATAAAGGGTTTCTCATCAAAGACTTATTAGACCCAATGGGAGTGAGGCTAAATATCCCTCCATTCCTAGGCATGGAAGAACAGATGTCGGCATCAGACGTCATAGAAACACAGCAAATTGCAGCTGAACGCATACATATTGAACACAGCATAAACAAGGTCAAAGGCAATCATATATTTGATCGCCCCATTCAGTTAACATTGTTTGGTTCGATTAACCAAATATGGACTAACGCAGCCATGTTGTCACTTTTTCAGCCACCAATTATCGCCCAAAGTGATGTTACATTAGTATCAGCTGATGAGTGTGACTCTGCATATGACTCAGATTAGTGATTAAACTACACAGTCGTGTAAAAATACAAAGTGAAATGTTAATGTACAATCCATTTGGTAAAGTAATTTTATTTACATCAACTCTCTATGATAGCTGACACTGACAGCATATTTTGGAGTGTATTGTGCACTCTTCACTAACTTAAAGATGCACTATACTATAGGTTCTCCCTCAGACAATCGATGATGACCCATTATTATTGCTCATATAATATCTTGCATACTATGGATCTTGTGAATAACTTTTTGGTATATTATTGCCGATATAGTATAGAGCCTCTTTAATAACTATGTAATATTTTCAAATACAACCACTCTGACACATAAATATTATATAACAATAACATGTTCTTTATTACTCTGATCAACTATATCATGGTAGCTTCAGTCTTAAGTGCTGTCTGCAGACTACATTCTTGATTACATTTTATCATTATAACATGTATGCCAAACGTGTATGCGTCGCTTATTTTATTGCCAAAGGTAGAAAATCCTTGAAATAAAATAAAGATATTTTTAAGAGCATATTTTGGAAGAACTCTTGTTCAAAGTTAATACGTTCAATGCACAGCCCTTTGTTTGTATATACTATAAAATCACAGAAACTTGAACCACATAATCCCATCTGTCCTTGTACCTGGAAATAATAGTCATGGTTTCTTTTCAGACAAGGTTTCCCGTTGATGGACTCCATACAAAAAGTACCATCTTTTAAATCACACGCCTCTTTGACAGTTACATCTCTGTATTTGTATGAACATTTTACTTCAACTAATCCTAATCCTCTATTTTGGTCTAGAATTTTACGATCCGGACTTGCTCCAACAAATGGGATACCTGGATTCACTACAAGACCACATTGTTCAATTTTCACATCGTTCCTATATTGTTCATACTTATTTACAGCAACTGCTTCGTGGTCAATACCAAACTTCATGGCTTCAGTTGGTTTAATTTGATGATCATTCAATAATTAATTCTTGAAAAATTTAGTGTGTTCATTAGTCTTTCTTTTACATATCCTACCAAACTTACTTGCTGTTATCCTGTACTTTCTGGCCTCATGCCAAAGTGGTGATTCAGCTTGGTTCCTCGTATCAATCTCTAGATCAACACTATTATTTGCTGAAATTTGTATATAGCTATCTAAAAAACGCTGGGAATCCTCATCAAATGGACCATTTGTTACATCATATATAGGTAAAGGATTCCAGGGAAATGGAATAAAAAGAGTGGGGCTTATGAGGACAGGTTCAGAGTCGTAATCAATCGTGTCAAATATGTTGAAAAGCGGATCACTTTGTGGAATTTGATACGATAATACACTACCACGCGGGACATCAAAGCCCAAAGAAGTAGTAATCTGTCCAGTGTTTTGAGGGCAGTGGCCTGTCAATAATGTAAAGTCAATGATACTATTGTGCTGTACTAACTGCTCGTGCAGCATTGCAATATCAAGAGTCGTCTTATTTCTACGTGGGTCATAAAGTGTTGGTTTAATACCTTTCGAAACCTTCCCGTATTTAGGAGATATTACAGTAGAAGACATTATTGCGTCCGCTGATATACCAGATGACCTTGGCTTATGCCATTGTTGTGGGTTTTCTGTTTTCGACTTTTCTTTTGGGAATGATGTCAACTTTTGCGCTCCAATGAAGTCTATCAAATATAATAGTCCAATGACATGATTACAATATCCCGATTTGCCTGCTTTGCAAGTACAACTTGCCATTTTGACATCAGTATCGATAATGTGGCATTTCAATGAATGTGGGGAATTACTTTTACGTTGCGACTGATAGCATTTTGATTTCACAAAATGCTCATTGTTTTTGCTAACAGAGACGGTGTCATGAATGTAGCCTTCGTGAAAAAAGCTGTATCCTTTTTCAAATGGTTTCTCTACCATGCTCTTTTTAATAACCTTGCCACTGTTTTTAGCGTAACTTTCTATGTCAGCATACGTGAATCCATATAAAGTTTTAGGGAAACTGGCTGTATAGCCAACTGTCGGAAAATTACTAATGAAATCTTCACCATCACTGGGTCCACTAGGTAAAATATTGTTCTTACATTTGGGGCATCTGGATTTTTTTGATCTGAGATTAGCATTATTTGGATCGGGGTCTCTAATTATTAATTCACAGTCTGGGATGGTTTGTTTTTCCTTGGTCTGTTGCACTCACGAAGCGACGCTAACGTATCCTTGTGGTGAGGTTTTATATTTCGGCACAACAGCCACTTAATACATTCTGTCTTTTTCAGTTTATTGATGGGCCCATCAAATGTGGACCCATCCACATCTGAGGTGGTCAGTTTTTCACAGTCACATACCGTTTGTTCTTTCATAGAATCCTAAAAAACAGATATAAAGCTTTATATTTCTTTGTTTTCAACATCCGTGGAACGATGTTTTATATGACAGATTTATATCCTAATAGGCCTAATGTTGACTGCCACAATAAATGAATTCCAATTAGATCGATAAAAATTTAAAATTGCTAAAATAAATATTGAGAAAAGTAAAAGGGATTACAGTAAATCTTGTATGTCAGCATGACTTGTTAGCCAGCTTGCCGGTGAACTAAAGTTGAACTTTGAACCCCGCTTTGAACGACAACCTCTAACCTAAATACAACACAAGATGTGTATTATTCTCATTCAAAGATATTGGCTAGTATTTCATGCTGTTTGCTTATGAAAGATAGTGAAAATACAACAGGAATAGTTGTTTGTTGATGTACACTTCTATCATCAGTAGCCTAAGCTTAGACTGGATGGCAGTTTTGAAAGACTGAAATCTCGGAGAGGAAAATTTCAATCAATCAGGACTTATTTGCATCTGATAGGTGATCTGAATGGATTGTTTTGAAATAAAACAATACAGGTGAGACCCTTGATATTATAAAGAAAAGATAAGTATAAAATGTAACTCACCATTTTGTATAGTTAACAAGATTTATCCCCGTGCGTACCTCAATGATCACTTGTCAAGTGCCAAATTAGATGAGTAAATCATCCAAAAAAGTCCGCGAGTGACGTCACTGCTATAATGATTGACAGGTTGCCCCGCCCATTTATCGATTTTTTGCCGACTTTATGGAAAGGTGTATACTCCCCCTTCTATTTATACTCATATTTCTTAGATAGGAGGTCATTTATAACTTTGAATACATTTTCGGCTGCAGTGTTTAGGTGTTTAGGCAATGTTTAGTCATTATAAATAAACCATTTTATCGAGAGGTTTCCAGGTTATATTTCAAGCCTATGTTTTATACTTACCTTTTGGCAGGTTATTATGCCTTCTGGCGGGTAATTATGCCTTTTGGCGGGAAAATACTACCCTTTTGGCGGGCAATTACACCTTTTTGGCAGGAAAACT